GGTTGAGCACCAGGAGGTAGTGTGCAAACGCAGTTCCATAATCTTGGTTGAACAAGCACTGCTGGGCACTTTCCAGAGAACTGGAGACCAGCTCGTTCCTGGCAGGATCGGCTCGGCGGCGCCTTCGAGTCCTCCTGCCGTGCTTCTGCCGTGTGCTGGTGTTAGGCATCCCTCAAATTAAGAGCAATAAATGGAAATTCTTTAAGAAAGATAATCATGATGCCATATGTACAATCTGAAGCCACTTTCAAGCCACCCCGCCCAAAGCACTACACCCAGAAAAGAAAAAAAAACAAACAAAGGAGCTTTTCTATGTCGTGAAATAGAAGATAAATGCAGAAGATAAATACTGCATAAAAAAAACACAAATTAAAATGCTATATATTTAATCAGCCATATGAAAAAGAAAGCTTTAACAGAACTCTATGCAATCCTGTAAAAAAAACAATTTTCGCAGGAATTAAGAGCATAAGTAGCAGCCAGGTACAGCTAACTAAATACATTTGATTAACTGATCATCAGCAAGTGTGAGCACCTCTATGAAAGCAGAGGTGTTGGCAGTGTGCTGATCTGGAGCATTCAGGTGTGTGTTAATACAGTGCCAGGGAAGAAAAGCGTCAACAATGAGCTCAGAGAAGCAACTGTTGGTGCCTACCAGTCTGGGAAGGATTACAAAGCCATTTCCAAACAATTTGAAGTCAATCCTTCTACAGTGAGAGAGATTATTCGTAAGTGGAAAACATTAAAGACAGACGCCAATCTTCCCAGTGAGATTTCATCCAAAGGTCATAGAAGGGGTGGGGTGTGTGTGTGTGTGTCGGGGGGCACTCAGACTCTACAGGCCTCAGTTAGCATGTTAAAGTTCATAAAAGTGCAAGTGCAATTTGGAAAAAGCTTTAACAAGTGTGGCTTTTTTTAGAAATGTTGTCAGGAGAAAGCCTCTTCTCTCTAAAAAAGAACAATGCTTAGCTTTGCAAAGACGCTTGTGAACAAACCACAAGACTGATGGAGCAATGTCCTCTGGAAAGACAAGATTAAAGTGCAGCTGTTTGGTGGAAGCCAAACACAGCATATCAATACAAACACCTCAAACCAACTGTCAAGCATGGTGGTGGAAGGGTGAAAAATTGGGTTTGATTTGCAGCCACAAGGCCCCAGTACAGTGAGTCAACCATGAACTCCATATACCACAGCATTCTACACTCAAATGTAAGGACCTTAATCCAGCTGCTAAGGCTTGGTGCAATGTGGGTCATGGAACAGGACAATGATGCCAAGCACAGCAGCAAGTCTACAACAGAAAAAGAATCAAGTTGTTGCTATTTCAATCAAAGCCCAGATTTCAAGCCGGTGTTGTGCCAAAAAGTGATTGCCTGCCAAAAACTGATTTTCGGTATTTGCCAAAAACTGATTGCTCGTATTTAAACTGCTATAAGTAACTTGTTGGGCTATAATATGTGAAACATATGTCAAATGCATCCCTCATGGATGACAAAGTCCTATTGAGCCACAAACAACATTTGTGTAACAAGGTAGAAGCTGCAATCAGTTTTTGGCAGTGACTTTTACATACGGTAACCTTTATTTATGTAGTTAAAATAAAATCTCATTAACACTAAAAATGTCTTTTGTAAGAGTAAGTTGGCCAAGAGGACAGCAGAAGTGGCAACAAATATTACAATAGGTCTGTAAAAATATTTTACGTGGGGATAAAGGACCGGATTGGTTATAATGTAAGTACAATAACACAGAGTAGTAAAATATCTATCTATCTATCTCTATATATCTCTCTATATATATATATATCTCTATATATAT